GGTAGTAAATATGTTAATTGATCAGTATATTAAGGATCTTTATTCAAAATCACTTTCTGTATCGATTGCAAGAAGTAGAAACTAAATAGGACCATTTTTTAATTAATTTTAGTAAATTGAAAATAATATGCGAAGTGATCAATAATTAATAGTAATGACTCATTATGAATCATTTTGATCTGATAGCGGAAAGTTCAGTTTACAAGGCACCGTCTTCGATAACGTTGCTTGAGCTCGATAGTATCGTGGAGATTGGCAAGAATTCCTAAAATTTTTTGAAACGGTCAAAGTGGTTAATTAAGGTTTCTTCGATCACTGATCTGAGAATTTATCGGTACCTTTTAATCAGAATAGTTTATTGTTACCGTACACCGCTAAGGATTCCTGAGCCTCTTAAGGACTCAGTTTTAAGGATTCTGCGTTACAAAAAGTACGCATTTTAAGCGCGAGAATAATATCTTTTTTCTGCGAATTGCATCGATCGTTAATTCTGCGTTTTTTACGAAGATGTGGTAAAAATTGTACAGATCATTTCTTACTTCCTTAACCAAATTCCGATGAAATTACAGGAATTATAGTACAAACATAGAAGTAAATGAGCGGATAATGACAATTTCGAAGTGTTGGAGGCGATGCAGTATTACAATCGATACACGCAATTAGTGTAACAATGCATAACTCATACATAAAGCAGGCTCTTCAATCGATAATGATAATAACACTACATTGAACTCATGTAATCATAGTCAATTCGATCGTTTCCAAACACTTTGGTCAAACTCGAACAAAAGATTTCAATTGCACATTGCATTCGAATCCGAAACAGAACAAACATTGACAAATAAAAAAGTTCGAAATGCGCTTGAAAAGAAGATAGTACAATTATCTAAAATGTTCTAAAACGCACGTAGACCCAGATGTTTCAGAAACGAGTGAAATCCTAAACGAAATTAAAAAATTCCAAATGCGTGCGGAAGAAAAATAGTGAAACCGTCTGAAACGCTCCAGAGCGCACGTGGAACCAGATGTTCCGGAGACGAGAGAAAGCCTCGACCGAAATTAAAAAATTCAAAATGCGTTTGCAGTAAGAAGAATGGAGCATGCGAAACGGGATAAAGCGCATACAAACCAAAAATTAATTCCCAACGGGGAATCGCGTTCGAAGCAGAAACGACTCGGCTAACGTAGCAACCCGATAAATCAACGCCCGCTGAGTTAATTTTTTAGAATTGTTTGCACGCCGGAAAAAGTTGGCCGGCAGAAAAGTCACCGCTAGAGAAACGGAGGCAGGCTGCTTTCTAGCGCAATATTTTAATAACGATCCCACGTAACAGGTAGCCAATTACTCGGCGGGACACTCGTAGGAGGCCGAGTCGGCGCTCTCGGCCAATACGTTCGCGTTCAGGCGAATTTTCTCTTTCTCCGTCGCACAGTGTACGGTATTTAGCCTCGAAAACTGGCCAAAAATCGATTTGGAAAATCTTGTGCAAAATGTGAAATATTTGCTTTCTGAGATAGTTGAATACGCGTACTATTTCTTCGATTCGATTCACTAATGAATTATTACGCTTTGTAAAAAGTAAAGCATTTTCGGGATACCGTTTCTCTGTTAATTAGATTCTGAATTATGTTCATTCAACACTAAACGTATCTACATTCGAAAATGCCTGGTATCTGCTACCTTATGAAAATTGTAAGACTGAATTTATTTAAGTGCACCATAATTCTCGTAATAGCATCTACTCGAATAAAGAAATACGATTTCATATAGTATAATATCAAATTTTTTGCAACGAATATATTTTATTTGTTCGATAGAATGTAGTTTCACATATAAACTATTTTTTATTCGTTGTCAAAAATGTTTAAGGCAATATTCAAAATATTATTTCATTTGAAAAACACTGAAGATATTTCTGGCATAGTTCGGAATTTAGTTAGAATAATAATAAAATTAAAAATAAAATTAGAATAACAATGAAATAAATATTTCATTAGAAATACTATTTTATTCGAATCGCGAGGAATCCATCGCTTAAAACAGCGTTTCAAATATTATCTCTACAAATATTACCCAGCTCACGGTTGCGTTGTGTTGCGAGGCTCGTGAAATCGTGGGTTCGTTATCGCCGGGCCGAGTTCGGGCCGGGTCGGGTCGGGCCCGGTTGCGCAACCGCGACCTATTGTCTCGCTCCGGGCCCCGGTTCGGGCTTTCGGGCCTCGCGGAGCCGCGGGACCTATCTCGATCCGTGAACTTTCCGCGATCCTCGGGACGTTTCTCGGCGGAAGCCGAGTCGCCTTTAATTGACAGTCGCCGATCGATCGGTTTTAAACATCGGGCCCCTCGGCTCTCGGGCTCTCTTAACGAGTTTTTCCCATTCTGCCCGCTCGCGGGGAACGACTCCGCTTCCTTTCTCACGGTTCGCCGCCGCCAGACCGGCGAAATGGCACCGAACGAGACCGGGGAGCTCGTTCAATCTGTCGCCGACGACGAACGCGGTGTTGCCTCTAGTCGGCGTAATCGTTAATTAACTAGCTCGCGCGGATCCACAGCCAGGTCAGCTATTATTCAGATAGATGCCCGCGTTTGCGAACACCGAATTATCAGGCGGCCGAGAAAGTTTCTCCGAGCTTTGACCCCGAGGATGATTATGATGCCCGCGGAAAACGGCGCCAACCGTCCGCGACTTCCATTTTTGCCGGCCATTGTCTCGGTTTCCTTCGGTTTCTATCTTTTGCTGTGAAACAGCTCGGAATCGGCATGATGGAAATACGAGCATGGTGCATCAACTTTTCTTAATTTCGCGATTATCCTGATTGTATGCGTGTCGACGAAAGTTCATTGCTGTTTATCGACGATTAGTTCCTTACCTGGATCAATCTAATGTTAATTATTATAACTTATTATCTGCACTCTACTGGATTCACACATTTAACACTTCACGAAGGAATGTATCATCTCAGAGGAATGCTGCTTTATTTGGCAACTCCTTGTAACATATTTCGAACAGTATAAACAAAGGAGGACAAAAAGAAGCGTTTAGAGAGACAAGAGAAATACATTTGTACAGCTAAAGAATTTACAAAACGAAGAGCTACCTCGAAATCCGTTTCTCAAATGACCATCGCGAAAAACAATTTTCCAAACGACAATAAGAAATTCTCCAATTTTATAAACAGTAAGAAGCAAAGAATTTACAACTTCGGTAACGAAAGAATTTTACGAGAAACGTCTCCGTACGAAAATTCAAGTAACACGTTTGAGTGCCGGTCAGGGCTTTTCCTTGGACACTTTCATCGTCGTTGTTTTTATTTTCCGCCGCGAGAAGTCTTTCGTCTATCGAACCATTTCTTATCTGTCGAGGCCGCGCGAGCTGGCGCTGCGCTGGCTAAACAAATTGTCGTTGAAACTGGGTTGTACAATAACGCTCGGCCACGTGCTTTTATTATCCTTACACGCGCGTCTCGTTTGAACAAGTGTTGCGCTCTCCGATGATGCGGCCATTTATGTGCCGAGCACCAGGGGTCTGCCATGATCGTAAAAAAGTATGCGAAGGGTCCCGGCGGTTTCGCGATGGCTTTGCATGCCGTTTCTCTTTGCACGGCATCGGAGCCTTCGGGACCCGAATGCGATTTTTTCAACCTGTCACTTGGATGTTCGAGCATTTTTGTACCGCGGGCCCTATTCGTTCGTAATTTGTTCGTAGAGGCGCGCGAGATATTGCAGCTTTCAAATATGTATGTACGAGATACGAGTTTCTGAAAATAATCTTGGTAGAACAAGCATGATCTACTGAAGACGATCTTAAAAAGTGAATGTCGATAAAATCAGAGGAAAGAGAAAAAGAAACGCAACATTATAGTTGTCTCCTAATTTCTATCTGTTAGATCTTTCAAATGATTGAAGAATAAAATTGATCAAAAATCACTGCATACTATGGGCTATTTATTAATTACTGTTAACTATTCATTAGGCTCGTATCGTTGCCGAATGTTGAAGAAGCTTGCCTGTGCATATTCTCTTTCTTCAAGAACTGTGATTTACGATTATGAATATTTCCTGCATTCAACTTCTGCATGAATATGTTCTCTCGTTATGTTTGTAATTTGTAGCTGAATAAAACTGCAAGGGTTTGATGTGCTTAATAAGAAAGAAAAACAGAAAAAGAAACATTTTAAATGTAGAAATGACGTTATCCAGTTCCAAACGGTTCGAATCGTATTCGCAGCGATGAAATTTTCAGACGAGATCGAGATGTCACCGTGTAAGTAGGGACAAGCAGATTTCGCGACGACTTTCAGAGACAGGGATGAAAAGGGCGCCCGCGTAATCGTAAGCTGATGGATTACAAGCAAACTCCCCGGGACATTAATCGCATTAGCCGGAACCTGGAACGCTAATAGCGATGCAACAATAATTACATTGTACTGCCACGGCCAACAGACTCGCAAGATACTCGCATTTATTAGCGCGTTTAGACCGTGACGTTTAAAATACGACTGCGCCTATCTTTTCGCCTAATCTCTCGTTAATGAAGAAACATATCAATTAACCGTTTTCTGCACGATACCGCTTTATTTGCGATTTATAGATGCCTCGTTCGAACTCGCCACGCCATTCATCATTCTTGATTATATGCGCTTACAACATAATCGAGCATGCGAAACGAATTCAAGAATATCAAAATATCGTCCTCCGACTTTTCAAAATTATTGAAGAAAGATACAAATATTTATTTTGCATAAATAACGCTGACTGTGATGATCGAACTGCGGATTTCATGCATTTAGAGCACAATTGAGCAATTGCGATTTGAAATAATAGAAACGTGAAAAGAATTGGAAAGTTTTAATGCATTAAAATTATTAAAGAAAAATAGAAATTTCTATTTACTTTGTATTTCTTGCATGCAGACAGTTTCTATTTCGCATAAAACTCCGCAGTCCAGTCATAACTTTTCGATTTTCATTTCAACGAATAAATCGTTTTGATTTTGCAGTGTCTTCAAGGCTTGATAGTCGACGTATCGAAGAGAAAAGCCGACAAGACCTTCCGCCATCACTTACAAAATCAGCAACAGACGCAAGTTGCAAAAAATAAATTTACCAATATTTATTCGCAGAAGTTTACGAACGTCTTCGAGCAGCATCTTCGATCTTAAACCGACGCGATTCCGATCTGCAGCGCTGCGTTTCGCGCAATGAAAACGAGATTTTTACGGCAAATGCCCCTTCCGTTTCGACTAATTAATTACGCGGGCATTATTATTCAAATTCGCAGCTAGATTGGTGTCGGCGGCGCGTGGAAGTCTTATTGTTATTCAGCGGCGCACCGGTTCCACGGTGAAATCGCACCGCGTGATTAGTATATCCCCTACACCCCCCTTTTCCCTTCCGCAGATAAAGAGGGAGTTTATCTGCGCGGCGCCGGGCCCCAATAAATTCAAGTCGAGCCGCTCTTTATCGTCGGCCGATTATCGCGAACTCCGGCCGGGAGACTTCCTCCATCGTATCGCGGTGAAACTCTGCTGGGAATTAACTGCGCGAATACTCCACGTTCGCTGGACATCGATACCGATTCGGAGATCATCTAGCAACCCCGTCAAAATCGTTCTCAATTTATAGCATACGAAATATAATAAAATATAATAAAATTCGACTTTGAAATTACCTGCTTTCTTCTGGCAAATCTCGTTGCATTTTAACGCTCTAGCTGCCGAAAATTCCATGAAATATTGAGACAGTGACTAGAACGTGTTAAATGCTGAAAGTCAACACCAAAAATTTCCAAAAAATCTAAATAATTTTATTAGTGAAACGGAGAGAGGTAAAATGAATCATAGTGCATTGTATTTGAAGTCTTTCGCATTTTAAACGTCGCAGAAAAATTCAGTTTAAGAATTTTTATGCAAAATGCTTCGATGTTAACTTAGCAGAAGCAAAAGTTAGATATAAATGTATTCTCTCATTTAATTATGTCAATGTATTATAAAATAACATGATCGTAAATTCTTTTAATCTTTGTAGGTTCTCATCTCATCTACTCAGCATTACTATAAATGCACAAAAATTAGCAGCCTAATTATAGTATTATAAAAATGAACTTTAGAAACTAGCGTGAAATGCGTAAAAGTATAGTAGAAGAAATCTAGATTATTGTTTATATTATTTTAATGCTTTTCTATTATATTCAGAGGTGTCATAAATGTCATTCAGATTGTATTTTTTACTTGTACTTACAATACATTCATATCATAAATTATACAAAGATCACAATAGATCAAATTTTCTATAAACACCATAAATTAGGCAATGCGTACGCAGCACATACGGACAAAGCAGTCACAAGATTAATTATAAATTAAGTTAACAGTCCAATCATTTCCTTTGAATCTCTACGTCTTCGTTTAAACGCAACCCAGCGAAATAAAGTCGGTCGTTCAGAAACAACCGAACAAATAATATTTAAATAATTTCTATATTCCGCGAAATATTATACATCGTGTTCAGGCGACAAATATCTCGTCGTGACCGAACCCCGTGGAAAATGTCCACGATCACGGAACAATTTCACCGCAGGAGAAACAATTTCTGAGAAATGTATCTCCGCGAGGAACGCAACGCTCGGAGAAATTCGGAAACCGGATACTTTATAATTTTCTTTGCGCAAACAGGTTCCCGGAACGTTCGAGTTCGTGGCCTTTCTTTCTCTCTCTCTGTACGGCGGAGCTTCCGAGAAAAAGCTTGAAAATTATTCAAAGGTTTTCCGCGAATGTGGAACGAGAAAAAGGAGGGAGATTATAATTAACGTCGCGATCCCCGAAAAACCGGAGCCGAGGACGAATGCCATTTCGGTTTCGTTCACGGACCATTACTGGTTTTGTCGCGAGCTGGACGCGAGAAGTCACGTACAGTCGGCCAGCTCGAGGGGCCGCCGCCGACTGGTTTTATTTCGAATTCTGTGTCCGCCCTCCCTTTTCCTCGTCTTGCTATTCTCTTTTCTGTTCGCGCCATCGCATCGTCGCGCGGATATTATATAACAATCCGAGGGACGTCTAGCGATTATAAATGGTACGGGTATCGAGAAACGCCTCGCTACGCGGTCGAGGCTTGACGTTGATGACGTAAACACCCTTCGGTGCTGTTACTTAGGGGTGGTATACCGTTTTGATTCCATTTACGGTACGTTAATGCCCGTCCCGCTCGCTGAAGGGTCACCGGATAGTATACATAGACTGCAGCCATTAGCAGTTTCTTTAGGTCCTATCGAACAGCAGCGACCAGACGGAACTTTACGCGGAATAACAATTTTCTGGGTTATAGATCGCGGCAACTTGGATCATGATTTAACCCCTTGCCGCGCTTCGACGAGACTGACGAGCTCGATGGAACACTTTTAGCTGGGTTTTGATGTTCGTTTTTAATAATATATTCGAACAAAGTGAACGCTATTAGAATGTTTAGTTTATTTTATGTTAGTTACTAAAAAAAACTTCGTTAGGCAAGATGAGAGAGAATTACCTGAACTTGCAAAATAAAAAAAGAAAGCCTCGCTTCTCGACGCGCGCGATACTTTACAGAGCAGAAAATTGTATTCTTACCAAGAGTAAGCGTAATTATTTTAAAAATTATTGTTATTATGTTATCATTTTTATTCAGTTTATATTCAATTTTCGCTCATAAAATAGGAAAATATATAAAAACGTAAAAATTGACTTCTTTTCTAGTGTTAATTAAATGATTTTGATATTCTGTTAAGTGCTTTTGATTTTCTGCTTCTAATAAATTATTATAATCAGAGAAGCTTCTAATTACTGTAACTCTGAAGATAACAGTACAGTGTTGGTGATTACATTGTTAGTTCTGAATTATTTGTAGAGTTTCACGGTTGCATATTTTGTTTATTCAGGCATTTATGAATGCATAACACGTTAAACACCAATGACTTAATCTGAAATGAAAGTATCTTGCATTGATTGCAAAAGTTATGTGAAAATTTGCTCTATTCCTCTTAATAGCCTTTGCAGATTAAATTCTCAAATGCCATCGGAGCTTTTACCGTGTCACATTTTGCTCATAAATGCATAAAACCTGCAGCCTAATTACTATTCAGTAAAGAAATGACCGGTTAATCGGAGTTAATTGAGTATGTAGGAATTGCAGCAGTTTATCGAGTAGTTGATTGCGAACGTTCGATCACTATAAACGTCAAGAGAAAACCATTATTGCCACGTTTACGTGGAACATTTCAATCCTAATGTCAATCGAATACGCAACTACCTGCATCAACGCGCGACTTTTCCAGCAGAATTTACGTGCACAGGTGTCGCAATGATTTCTTTACGTTTCACGCGCATTTCCGAGTTTCTGCCCGAGAAGACTTAATTATCGATCTTGTCGATCAATGTTCTATTATAAGAAATATAATTTAAAAAAATATATAAATTAAAAAATATATAATTCGATCAATGTTCTATTATAAGAAATATAATTAAAAAAATATATAATTCGATCAATGTTCTATTATAAGAGATACGAATACTTCTAACTCACTGCTGTCCTGCTGCTCGAAAATTCACAGCTGTGTCGCTTCTCTTTATAGATTCCGATTACGTTCAAATGACGACATAAACTGCACCAGTCTCCCGATTTCAACGTCGCAGTTGATGCACACAATTGTAATCACTGTCACGATCAAACGATCTAAATAAGAAAATTAGACATCAATTTCCGATCAGGACGATTCGTCGCGAATTCTAGAGACCTTACAGAAATGGTCAAAATTGAAGAAATGTTCAGCATGATGTGCAAATGCAACATAAAATTCAGAAACAGAAAATTCGNACGGTACGTTAATGCCCGTCCCGCTCGCTGAAGGGTCACCGGATAGTATACATAGACTGCAGCCATTAGCAGTTTCTTTAGGTCCTATCGAACAGCAGCGACCAGACGGAACTTTACGCGGAATAACAATTTTCTGGGTTATAGATCGCGGCAACTTGGATCATGATTTAACCCCTTGCCGCGCTTCGACGAGACTGACGAGCTCGATGGAACACTTTTAGCTGGGTTTTGATGTTCGTTTTTAATAATATATTCGAACAAAGTGAACGCTATTAGAATGTTTAGTTTATTTTATGTTAGTTACTAAAAAAAACTTCGTTAGGCAAGATGAGAGAGAATTACCTGAACTTGCAAAATAAAAAAAGAAAGCCTCGCTTCTCGACGCGCGCGATACTTTACAGAGCAGAAAATTGTATTCTTACCAAGAGTAAGCGTAATTATTTTAAAAATTATTGTTATTATGTTATCATTTTTATTCAGTTTATATTCAATTTTCGCTCATAAAATAGGAAAATATATAAAAACGTAAAAATTGACTTCTTTTCTAGTGTTAATTAAATGATTTTGATATTCTGTTAAGTGCTTTTGATTTTCTGCTTCTAATAAATTATTATAATCAGAGAAGCTTCTAATTACTGTAACTCTGAAGATAACAGTACAGTGTTGGTGATTACATTGTTAGTTCTGAATTATTTGTAGAGTTTCACGGTTGCATATTTTGTTTATTCAGGCATTTATGAATGCATAACACGTTAAACACCAATGACTTAATCTGAAATGAAAGTATCTTGCATTGATTGCAAAAGTTATGTGAAAATTTGCTCTATTCCTCTTAATAGCCTTTGCAGATTAAATTCTCAAATGCCATCGGAGCTTTTACCGTGTCACATTTTGCTCATAAATGCATAAAACCTGCAGCCTAATTACTATTCAGTAAAGAAATGACCGGTTAATCGGAGTTAATTGAGTATGTAGGAATTGCAGCAGTTTATCGAGTAGTTGATTGCGAACGTTCGATCACTATAAACGTCAAGAGAAAACCATTATTGCCACGTTTACGTGGAACATTTCAATCCTAATGTCAATCGAATACGCAACTACCTGCATCAACGCGCGACTTTTCCAGCAGAATTTACGTGCACAGGTGTCGCAATGATTTCTTTACGTTTCACGCGCATTTCCGAGTTTCTGCCCGAGAAGACTTAATTATCGATCTTGTCGATCAATGTTCTATTATAA